CAGTTCACAAAAGAATCTAGAATAATGCTTATATATATTCGGTTTTGTGGTAATTGAAGAAACGAATTTATAATAAACGGTTATCTTGATAAATTGTACAGACTATCCGGGTTTTGTTTCACTAGTGCATATTTGTCCGTGTCCCATAATTCTCATGTTCGAACTCCAATCACCACTCTCTGTGATTGCCCCAGAAGACATAAAGTAAACCATTGTCAAATGTATATACACGAGTACGTGTTGCCGTTTCTGTCTCCTCTGTATGCAAAGAACACACAGAAGGAAATGTCCTACTAATGTCTGTCTGTTTGTCTTTCAAATTAGCATCATTGGCATTCCCTCAGGGAGTGAGTATTGTGATAATAAATGATTTGATTTTACATCAATACGTCTGAATTATATAATACAATATGGTGCACAGAATCGTTATGACGAACTCCAGAGCAAATCAGATACAAATCTGTGCATCTAATTAGGTAATTTACTTAACAATTGCTCGGTATTAGTTTTTTACTTGTGTATTTCCTGCTTGCTTTTAGATACATAAATGTCTGATATTACTATCTAACTAACCTATGCATAATCATTTGCTAAATTGCATATTAATTATTAGTTGTCAGTCTGTTTATTCTGTATTGTAATAGTTTTCTCAAATGAATTTAAACTTCGCGCATAATTGACTGACAATTATTTGGAATCAACCGTGCATTTGTTTTAGATAGTTTCCATTAATAATTAACTAGTTATAATGGTTTGAAGTTTGTGTGCATGAATGTCTGACGATAGTATGTAGTTAATCTGTGCATATTAATTACCTAATTTGCATATACCAGTTTTCAGTTATTCTGTATGATAATAGTTTGCTAAAATGAATTGAAACTTGGCACTGTGTGTGTAGTTAAATGCCTAACCATAGACCCTACAGTAGAGGGTCTATGGCCTAACACTACTTTATAATTAACCTGATTAGCTTATTTGCATACTAATTAGCTGTTTGATGCATCTTAATAATACCAATTGTTTACTCAAATTAGTTGAAGCTTTGTATATGCATAGTGTTTATATCGCCGATTGTCTGATTCATAATCAATCCGTGCATTATAGTTAGCTAATTACCTCTGTTCGTCATGTTTATTTTATGTTCTAATAATGTGCGGAACCGGATTGAAACTAAATACATGTATATTGTGTTGACAAATGTTCATCATAGACACATGTCTGATGTTATCTTATACATTACTGTCTGTGCATATTAATTATTTAATTTGCATACAAATAGTGCATTATTAGTTTCATATTTATAAGTAGCACGAGCAAGGTCAAGATTGAATTGGTTGTTATGTTGGTTGTTGAATGTCAAAGCACCCACTTCACACGGGAGCACTTTTTTGAATCTCCAGTTCATTTTGAAAGAAAAAAAAGCCACATAACAAAGAGAATACATTATGTACTATAATTGATATTACATGTAACATTCAAACTGAACAAACAAACAAATTCAGCCTTATTATTCTGTGATGAGAGACGGAGGTTAAATGTAAAAACAAAATCAAAACATGTAATGACACACGAGGGCGCTATGACGTATTATTTGTTTTCGTTGATGCCGTAAAAAGGTTAAAATGACATAAATCACTATTACGTCTGCGATTTGACTTTCGGTATGTAAATCTTAGGTAAGTTTGTTACTTTGTACATTCAGGTGAAAAAGAGCAGATTAATCGTCTAGTTGACTTGGCTTGGTCTAATACAGACAGCTATAGCTGACGCACCCTTAGCCGTGGTTTCGCGGCGTTTTGGGTCCGCTGACGTGTATGCTAACAGAAGAAGCCCTATCCGAACCTAGATTCAGAATTCAGAATTGCTTCGTGTTGTTTGGGGTAGAAATAACATACTATTGTAAAAAAAACGAGGTTACAGCTGTAAAAGCTACAGCAAACATGCATACAACCTAGCCCTTAGTACAGTCCTATAGGTTGCCCTTCTTCCGCTGATCATTCGGCCCCCGAATGATCAGGAGAAGAAGGCCAACCTACAGGACTGTACTCAGGGCTAGCATAAACCTGGCCAGGGTCAACAGTTTGGATAAACAGCCATACTACAACCAGCGTCAACCATAGGTTGTAATGTGTATATACAATTTATCTGCTTTATTTGAACACTGTATGAAGACACCAAAGAAGATACAATA